AGCTAAAGTATTTTTATATACTTACCTGTTTGATATGATACATACTTTATATTCATATAGTTTATTCACTATTGTTCTTCCAAACGAGCATATATACATATTCTTGCGTGATAATAAAGTTACAGATATTATTATAATATTAATACTGTATAAAGGCTCAGTATATCAAATATTTGAATTAATCAGGCAATAAGAGCCAAGCGTGGTTACAATCGCTAACATTTATTACATGTCAAATACATCACGATTAAAGTGTCAATTACAATATTACGTACGTTTTGACTTCTTTTTTGGGGTCATCCTCAGCGCGTTGTCTACACATTACGTAGAACTAAATCTACATGGGGCCTTCCTTTTCCGTAAACTTCTTAGCGAATCAGTTACTTCTAACAGTTGTTTGGGCAGATGCACACTCCAAAGCCTTCCCAGGTATTTTAGTGTGTGATTTTCTGGTTTGAGCGCCAGGAAAGTTTGCAGATATTCAGTCATGGTTCGATGGAAAAGATACCTGTACAGATACTCAGAGTGACAACTATTCTAGGATTGTATATATATAACACGTTATGTAATGCGTAACGCTACTTACAGATAGTGCAGTCATTAGTTACATCGCAATTATTCTCCCTGTACGACTGTCCGTGCAAGCAATGGAACAGACTGTGTCTCGTCGACGTTTAGACGAACAATGACACAACCGTTCTTACAATATCATTGCTGTATATGGAAGGGGAAATATGACGAACAAGAACAACAATGTTTTTATATTTTCGCAAGACCTTCAATAACATTTATATACATTTCAGGTAAATTCTCCGTGTCCGTTTGCAAATTTATGCCGTTTGTTTGTTTTTTTATGTAAACCATTTCAGATATTAATTTTTTATTTAGAAACCGTTATTTATCTAAGATCTTTACATTATTCCAAATAAAATCGTGGTTACATTCAACCCTATGGTCCGTCACCACCGTCGATAGATAGCCCTTCATATAATTTAGCGGCATATCTCCATACAGTAATGCACAACATTTTTTCGAAGGGGCAGAGTTATACTGCAAATAACTTTGAATTAGTTAAAAAACTGTCCAACGTTAGTATCGAAGAGGGTCATACATTAATATCATTAGATGTTGTTTCCCTTTTTATCAACGTACCTATTGAGATGGTGCTTGAAAGTATTTCATCAAAGTGGAATTACATATCCGCGAATTACAAGATTCCGAAATCTGAGTTCCTTCTTGCAGTCAGACTGGTACTAAAATCAACGTTTTTTATTTTCAATGGGGTGTAATCTACCAGCAAACTTTCGGCTCACCTATGGGCTCACCGTTATCTCCCATAGTGGCTGACATTACAATGCAGAACCTTGAAATGAAAGCGTTGGAAATATTAGATTTTATCTCTCCATTTCACTGTAGATATGTCAACGATATTGCGATGGCGGTGCCTTCCACCAGTTGTGCTCACACGTTGGAGATTGTCAACTCATTCCACCCTAGGCTGCAGTTCACAATGGAGGTCAGTGTGGATGACAGGTTGAATTTTTTGGAGGTTACTATCATACGCTATTCCCCGAAAAAAGTGTCACCACGTCGATTTTACGTTCCAGATCCAGATCTCCCTTGTTCTTCTCCTCGAAGAGGATCACCTCGCTTGCGTTCGCCGAAGAATTTCTTTGCACGTGACATCGACGTACGGCAAGAAATCGAGATCACGTTCCAGAGATCTCCCTTGTCTTCTCCTCGAAGAGGATCACCTCGCTTGCGTTCGCCGAACACTTTCTTTGCACGTGATCGACGTACGGCAAGAAATCGAGATCAAGATCGCCAAGGTATTCGCTCGCGCTTAGATCTAGTTCGAAATAACCTAGATTATCCCCCGAAAAGAGTGTCACCACGTCGATTTTACGTTCCAGATCCAGATCTCCCTTGTCTTTTCCTCGAAGAGGATCACCTCGCTTGCGTTCGCCGAACAATTTCTTTGCACGTGACATCGACGTACGGCAAGAAATCGAGATCAAGATCGCCAAGGTGTTCGCCCGCGCTTAGATCTAGCACGAAATAAACCTAGATTATCTCCGAAAAGAGTGTTACCACGTCGATTTTACGTTCCAGATCCAGATCTCCCTTGTCTTCTCCTCGAAGAGGATTACCTCGCTTGCATTCGCCGAAAGCATCACCACGTAGAACACCATCTCAATTAAGATCGCCGCGACTTTCTTAAATTTGACGAAATGGAGCTAGAAATGGATGACCTCGAGCTTATCAAACTTGTTGAGAGACAACCATGCCTGTACAATAAGAGTTCTAAGATGTACAAAGCCATGGACAAACCTGTAATATGGACTCAAATTGGTGGCTTGTTGACCCACCGAAAAACAGATATTTTTATAGGAAATTGATGTTATTCAAAATTATGCTTGAGTGCTACTATTAGAGTGCTATGGCTGCGGCCCACTTGACGCTACAAATGCTTTGAAGCATTCCTCTTCTCCTTTCTTTTAATGAAGAAAGAAGGAGAAAAAGAACGCTTCAAAGCATTTGTAGCGTCAAGTGGACCGCAGCTTCTTTGCAATCTCCTTGATTGTGGACCGTGTGGATAGGGTTGATAAAGTGAGACCTTCCTCTAAACTCTTTCCATATTCTAGGAGAACAAGCTATGAAACGCTGGGAATCCTTGAGGACTCAGTGGAGCCGTGAGCACAAAAGAAAACGTGAATATTTACCATCAGGATCAGGTGCCAGCGCAGATACTCAAGAATTTCGATTTTATGGAGAAATGAGTTTCTTAATACCGCATTATGTGCCAAGACCGTGAGTACATTTATTGCACCTCTGAATGCATAGCCTATTTTATTGTACAGTCGCGCTCAATGCCTGGACACCGAAAATTGGATGCGTTTCGGAAACTCACTGTTTCTTTCTAAAGGGAACAATTAAAAAGAGACGAAAAGGGATACTTTCCAAAACGTATCCAATTTTTGGTGTTCAGGCATTAATGAGCGCAACTGTACTTGTATGTACTAATTATTTCATTTTCAGTACTAGAGGCAACATGAGCAAAATAGTGGTGGGCCCCAGTAGTAGTGATAGCACCACTTCTAGCACTACTGTCGAGATATGTGATGACTCACAATCAGCAACAATCTATGATTTTAATTACTCCAGTCAGCTTTGGAATACAAATTTGGTGGATGATTTTAGTAGTAAGTATATTGCTGCCAGCACTTATTTCTGGCTGTTCTCATTATCCAATTGGACGTGTTCGCAAAAGTTTGCACTTTGTTTTCAGGCGATAAGTCGCAAAGTTTACAATCTCTACCTCCAGTAGGCCTACAACAAGTGTCCCTTGCAACCAGGACCGCAATGCAACGGGAGCCTGCACGGGGCAATGTGCTTCCAACAAATATTAAATTTAAGAGCACCGCAGGTGCAAAGGTAGTTGTGCCTCCCTCTGACGATTTTACCAGAAAAAGGAAGTCAGAAATTGACGTGAAGATGGACAAGAGTCTACATTTTATGGAGAAAGTTAGTAAAAGGATGGGTAACGTATTTGAGAGGAGGGAAGAACAATCTGCCAATCCGGAAGTTGATGCTGCGATTAACTTTAGAGCCTCACTGAAGAAGAGAGTGAAGACTGAAAATCAGTACAAGTGCACACGAAGAATAATGGAAGTTATTGATGGATTTTCCGAATAGTCAAATTTTATTTTATTTTTTTATAACAAGGTCGAAGGACGCTTTGAATCTATGGATAAACTCTCGAAAGATTCCGATAACGAGAGTAAAGATGGCTCCTTAATACAAAAGAAGAAGCACGGCCGTGTCTCGCAGCCTATCAACACCATTACTGCCTACACGGTAAGTGACAGAAACACGCTTACGTCGGTGGCGGCGCGATTCGATACGACGCCGTCCGAGCTGAGCAAATTGAACAGGATGGGAAGTACTTTCATTTATTCCGGTCAGCAGTTATGGGTGCAGGCAAAAGGAGAAGGACGACTGGGAGGCGCATCGGCCACAGATGAGCCCAGCCCTGACCCTTGCCACGATCACGAGTCCCAGGATGACCTACCACCCAAAGAAAAAGAACTTCTGAATAATTTGAGATCAGTGTCACCAAAGCTAGGCCATATGGAACGCATAAAAACACCTCTTGGAACCTCTGGCGCGACTGCAGATGATGACGAACAACCATTCAGAGAAAGATTCGTGAAAATTAATGTCAGGCACATCACAGATGGTCAGGGTGTAGTCGGTGGGGTGCTGTTGGTCACGCCAAACGCAGTTATGTTTGGTCCAATTATTATTATTATTTTATTTATGGAATACTTTGAGAGCAGTATTTATTTTTTTATTTTAGTTGTGATATTGAGAGACCAAAAATAGTGTTACCGGTAACTTTTATTTGTGCTAAAGTGAAACATTATTTTGTTCAATGTCTTGTTATGTTACCTGCGTGTGCAGATCTAAACTTAGTTATGATTCCAATTAAGAGAAATATTTGTACCTTTGATGTAGAAAACTTTATTCAGTGCAATATTGAGCAATTTGAATAAAAAATAATTATACATATACTGTAACAAACTAATTTTAACACACAAAAATACTTATATTATATGCAAATAGCGATACTCTATTAGCAATAACTTTTATTTGTGCTAAAGTGAAACTTTTTGTTCAATGTTTTGTCATGTTATCTGCGTGCAGATGTAAACTTGCTTATGATTCCAATAAAGAGAAATATTTGTACTTTTGACGTAGAAAACTTAATTTAGTTCAATATTGACCAATTTGAATAAAAAATTATTACATACTGTAACAAACTAATTTTAACACACAAAAATACTTATATATTATGCAAACTTAGATACAAATTACGATACTTAGATACAACTTAGCGATATTATTAGCGATGCAAACTTATTGTTACATACAAAAAATAACAGAAATACTTCATTTGCAACAGATTTAATCACTTGATAGTGATAAATCTTAACATTTCAAAGTGAGCCTCTCACAATAGGCACATTTCTGAACGCATAGTCATACTGCCATATGACTTCACCAACTTCAGTTAAAAAGAAATCTCTCAGCTTATCCCTCTGGTCAATGACTGCTCTGGCAGGGTTTAGCCCTTCCACCCTATTAACACGATGCAACACACCTCCTGGCTGAACTTCATTTCGCCATTCACCATTTTCCAAGGGCTCGCTATTAGGTCCTTCTCCATCAATTAGGCCTGGTCTTAAATAATTTCGATGTTGAGGGGCCTCTGGAAGATCACTTTCAATTAGAAAGTTATGTAAACAAAGGAGAGCCATAACAATACTCTCAGCATTCTCGACTTTGCTACATATTTGGCCTGCTAGAATTTGCCACTTGGCCACCAATATGCCAAATGTATTTTCAATGACTCTGCGCGCTTTCGACAGACGATAGTTGAAAATTCTTTGTGGCATTGTGAGTGCTTGCAAAGCAGGATCCACATCAACAGGATCTTCATCGGAGTCTAATGCTGCTTCATTTCTTAGGGCTTCATCATTTTGTCTTCTGCGTCCTTTTGGCTTTGCATATAGCCGCATCATATATGGTTTCAAGGGGAAAGCTTCATCTCCAACAAAGGAAAATGGAAATGGTTCTACCCCACCTGGTAGAGGCTCTGAGTGAGGTAGATCCGCAGTTCCTTGCTCCAAAGCAGTTCCAAAATCACTGTTGGTCCAGATTGCACCATCGTTCATTGAACCTGAGAAATCATGATTTGTTTCAATTAGCAATCAAGAAGCAGTGGTCAAAGATCGGAAGAATGTTCATTCAAAGTTAAATGTTTTTAACAAACAATTCATAAATGCACTTACCATAAAATTCCAGGTCCACCCACGTAAACACATAATTTGCAGCCATCAGGACAATGGAAAAGAATTTCTTGTAATTAAAGAACTGAGAACCAGAATTTTTGGGTGCCTTGATTCTTATATGTTTCCCATCGACGGCGCCTATGCAGTTTGGGAAATTACATTTCTGCCAAAACCCATCAGTCACATTCCTCCACATATCTCTGGTCATTGGTGGGAAGTAAATTGGCTGCAGAGTACTGATTATGGCCTCACATGTCTCAGGTATGATTTTGTGTGCAGTTGATCTACCAATCCTAAAAGACCTTCTTTCCCCACACACTGTCAGCGTGTGCCAAATACCTGCACAAAAATACGGTTCCCAGTCAAAATGACTGTCCTAAATAATCTTATATCAGAAAGTGTCGGGAAAAATTTTTCAGAACAAAATGTCTCACAAGGGGACCTTCAGGCTAACGGATTTATGTTTTTTTTGTACTTACTGTACTTGCGGGTCATCACCCGAACATTAATTTCCCAAAGCTTTAAGGCGCGCTTTTCAGAAAAACTCGGAAAATCGACTTTCTCGAGTTTTTCTGAAAAGCGCGCTTGGGAAATTGATGTCCGGGTGATGATCCTCAAGTACAGTAAGTACAAAAAAGAAACAAAAATTCGTTAGCCTAAAAGTCCCCTTGTCAGTCCAAAATGTCTCAGTCCAAAAATATCTTAGTCCAAAATATCTCAGTCCAAAAATATCTCCTTACCATAATGTATTGTACAAAAATCACTGAAATATTATAGACGAGATATTTTTGCTGAGATGTTTTGGCCTAAGATAAAATGAGGGGTCATTAAAAAATACAACAATTACACATAGCTTGATGTTTACTGCACAGTTCAATTTATCATTGTCTGACAAAAATCAATACACACCCCAGAGTGAGTGCAAGTCGAAGCTCAGGAGGAAACGGACGTCTATTGCTTCTCTTTTGCAGGAATGGTGTTACTTTGTCCAGAAGCCAATCAAACTGTTCAGGTGTCATTCTAGTATACTGCTTGAATTCTTCATGGTCCGTCGTTTTCAGCTCATGAAAAAGACGTTAAAACTCTCCCAAGTCATTGAATCGATTGTTGAGTGGACGCCGCCACCACCGCCTAAAACACAATTTTGAACAGTAAACATAAATTATACTATATAAACTATACCTGCACAAACCAGGAACTACAGGATACACATGTTTCTCACGTGGACAAAAACTTGTAATGAAATTGGGCATACTAACCTAAATCCGCGTTCTCTTACTGGTTCCACTAGACCGTGCAACATAATATTAAAATGGTGACACATTAAAATGAACAAAAAGAGTAGCATTAATTTTTCCTCGTCCATTTTTGGTCCATTTTTGGTCAATATACACGTGACAGCAGTATGTCATGTGTACTCAAAGAAATTCTTCGGCGAACGCAAGCGAGGTGATTCTCTTCGAGAAGAAGACAAGGGAGATCTGGATCTGGAACGTAAAATCGACGTGGTGACACTCTTTTCGAGGGATAATCTAGGTTATTTCGAACTAGATCTAAGCGCGGGCAAATACCTTGGCGATCTTGATCTCGATTTCTTGCCGTACGTCGATGTCACGTGCAAAGAAATTGTTCGGCGAACGCAAGCGAGGTGATCCCCTTCGAGGAGAAGACAAGGGAGATCTGTATCTGGAACGTAAAATCGACGGGGTGACACTCTTCTCGGTTAGGTGCTTCGACCTTAACTCTGCTCTCATTAGCTCTGACAGTTTCCGAAACAGCCCGTTCTCATTGGTTGACTGACTCAGCAAAATGCGCTCATGATTTATGACTTACGACTATGATCTAACGATACAACTTATTGTAGACCAGCCTTTACCGAAAAGAAAGGTCCCATGTAGATTAGTTCTATGTAATGTGTAGACAACGCGCTGAGGATGACCCAAAAAAAAGGTCGAAACGTACGTAATATTGTAATTGACACTTTAATCGTGATGTGTTTGACATGTAATAAATTTTAGCGATTGTAACCGCGCTTAGCTCTTATTGCCTGATTAATTCAAATATTTATTATAATATTAAACAAACATATTCAATAGTAGTAAGAAGCGTTAATTATAAGAACGTAATAGCGATACAAAATGTTAGAAGCATTAAGTTTGATTATTATTTAGAAGTAGTTGTCATCCAAAGAAAGCTGTACGGCTAAACAGCTGTTTGATAATATTTTATTTTTATTTTGCGAAATAAAGTTTATTTAAATTTATTAATGTAGAATTACAACCAGTGAACTCATACAAGTCCAGAAATGCCTCACAAATAGCGAAAAGGTCATTAAATGAGATTTTTAACCTAGATTACGGTCAACGTGACGCTACAAATGCTTTGGAGCGTTCTTCTTCTCTTTCTTTCTTCATTGAAAGAAAAGAGAAGAGGAATGCTTCGAAACATTTGTAGCATCACGTTGACCGTAGCCCTAATCAGCTGATTGTAAGAATTAAGCGTAATTTTGATAATCTCATGATGATTTATGATTACTAGTGTTATCTAGAACCCAAATATGTGTTTATTATTGATTTCTAATCATTAATGTAGATTTTGACATCCTTGAATAAACTTTTGTACTTCGGGTAAAAATATGTAACTGAGGTGATGGACAGATTCGTATGATTTAATTTAATTAAAATGCGTTATTTTAATTTACCGTCCGATTTTAACGATTTAGGTCTTAAACGATTAGTTTAGTCCTAAATATTGTTGCGCCCGTGCTGGACACCCGTTTGTGGGCTGAACTTGGCTCCGCTGACCGTTCCGCGGAAGCTTCGTGCTGAAGCGCGTCCCTTGACTACGGGATATTGATTTTCTTGTTTACTGTTAGATTTACGGGGAGACTCAAAACGTTCGGACGAGTTCTCTTCCAGAAACGCATTCATGTACAAAGATTTTAAATAAACCCGAGTTCCTTTTGTAAACGGGAGTTGTCTTTCTTACGCGAGTCCAGGAGTGCGCGGCGCGAACGCGAGTGACTAGTGATTGCGGAGCGCAGCGCAACAATATAATGTTTATGATGTCAAAAACTTATTTTTCTCAAAATAACGAGATTTCACCTGTTCAGGTGAACTTCGCCGTTTATGGTACGATTGCGTTAAAAATAAGCTTAAATGTTTTGTCATGTCTTACAGAGACTGCCCATATGGTTTATTTATCGAATTTTGCTTTATTTTAGATTTTCACTGATTTTTGTGAACTTTGTTAATAAGCGTACGATATTGAGCCGCAAACGGTTTTAATTGTTTACTAGTGATCTCAAGAAGAGACCCGCCATATAGTTTATTTACTAAATTTTCAATTATTTGAGATTTTCAACTTTTCAAATTACCCAGTAAGCAAAAAATCATTATTACAATGTTATTGCAACGATATTCTAGAACTTGTAATGTTGTTAAATATGTAGTTCTTAATATTGTATAGAACATCATTATGAACATACTTTGACCACGATTCCGAAATTTCAGTAATGTTGAAATGGGAGTGCCATAACGTTGCAAATAACATTGCGCTAAGATTTTTCTATCATTCCTGTAATGTTTTTGAGATAAAAATTTAAACGTATTATTTCAACTTTATTACAATATTATATTAAGATTACCGTAATATTAATTCTAACATTTATTTAAAGTTTTTATTGATGTTTTATTTCTATTACAGGCAACATGTTTTCAATAAATATGCAATAGTAATAAAATATCTCAATAGTTGTTGGCTAATTAATATTTAGATTGCTTTTTTATAGACCAGGCTTGGACAACTTTGAGCTCCAGAACCACGACACTTCTTTTCTATCCACGGAAAGTAGGGTCATGGCTCTAGGCCTGTTATATACTAATCTGCATTAGGGAATAATTCACTAATTATCATAAAAAAGTTTTATTTATATAAAAATAATATCTATATACCATATATTACAGTTTTCAGTTTATCACAATAATATCTTTGGTGAAGATCACTGATCCAAGCGGAAGGTTTTGGGATAAAACTCATCTTTCAAATAAAAAAATTTGTTACTATAATAATCACTCGCGCGGAGCCACGCAAGTAAGATAATATATTTATCATTTCCTGAAAAATAAAAGTAGAATTAAATTAGTGAAAAAGTTACTTATAAATTATAACGCGGCAAATTATAATGATTTTATTTTATGGAGAGTATATACCGAAATACATTACATTACCTTTTTAATGTTTTTCTCATTCCTTACGGATGTTTGCGAATCTAAACCACTCCATTACGAAGTGTTCAAAATCTGTTTCTGTATTCCGAAGGAATATTGCTCTAAAAGCTTCTGGAATAAGAAAAATTCAATACAGTTTATTGTTAGATGAAAGAAATAAATAGATAATGTCAATTCAACAGCAATTAAAATTTATGATAATTATTGAAATAACACAAAAGTTTCCGGAATAGTTTACATATATACTAAATCGATCAGAAGTATTAGTTTATGGATATATATTTTTCTTTTACTTCGTAAAAATTTTTAACGTGTATGTGTGTCCTGCTTTTTAACAATGATTGCCACAAAAAATAGGAGACAATTTAATAAATTTTGAGACATAAAACATAGCATTTAATACTGCAAGTAATATATACATCTCTTAAAAAATTACTTACTTTTAATGCTCAGAATTGTGTGTGTGCGTATCTCCAATTTTATAATTATTTTTTTGGCCAGTCCATGAACACATGGATGCTAAGTCATCAGAAAATGTAGCACTCAAACTTCTTCTAATAAAATCTTTTTCATGTTTCCCTCCAATTAACATAACTTTGTTCACCTAAAAAATTTATACTTGTAATTCTATATAATGCAGTATATTATTATAAATTGCAAAGAAAATAATTCAGAAAACTTTTAAAATATATGAGAAGCTGGGCTTTGAACGAGCGACGTGCTCCCGCCCTTCTAGAGGGCAGCTCCCGAGTGGCGCGAGCTTCGGGGCGCCACGCTTACGTGCGGTCGTTGTGTAAGCACAGAAGAGCTCGTGGTGTCGTAGCATTAGGAATGTTTGGTGTAAAACTCGGGGCAGATGGCGCCATGGCGTCCAGTCCTGTCATGGCGGCGTCACCAACACTAACTCAATATACATGTATGT